ATCATCATCATCATCATCTCCATCATCATCATCATCATCATCTCCATCATCTCCATCATCATCATCATCATCATCATCATCATCATCATCATCACCACCACCACCACCACCACCACCACCACCACCACCATCATCATCATCATCATCATCATCATCATCATCATCATCATCTCCATTTTGCTTCGTCTATTCCTACTTCCCCCCATCTTTCACATCCTCTTCTCTTCTTTCTCATTTTCTCCTCCTCTGCTCTCTTTTTCTCCGTTCGTCTCTCCGTTGTTTCCCTTCTACTTCTGACCCTCATCGCACCAGCTCGACTACATCATGGGAGTAGCAGAGGAGGCGTTGAAAGCTCGAGCATACGATCGTGCCAGGTTTGAATATTTATGACAAATACCTCCTGCTCCTGCTCCTGCTCCTGCTCCTGCTCCTGCTCCTGCTCCTGCTCCTGCTCCTGCTCCTGCTCCTGCTCCTGCTCCTGCTCCTGCTCCTGCTCCTGCTCCTGCTCCTGCTCCCTCCCGTTCCCCTTCTCCTCCCGTTCCCCCTTCCCCCTTCCCTCCCTCCTGCTCCTCCTCATCTTTAATCTCCTTCTTCAGCTCTGTTCTCTTTTCATCGCATTTCCCTCCTCCTCCCCTCCCCTCCCCTTTTGGCTCAACCCCGCCTCCTCTCTCCTCACCGTCCTCTCTTCCGTCGCTCCTCCCCTCCCCCCTCTCGTCTCTCTCTCCCCCCCCCTCTCGTGTTTCCCCCCCCTTCTCCTCCCTCTCACATCTGCAACCAGGGAGCTTGTAGCAGAGGCGAAACTTTCATGCAAGGACGAAGAGTTCTATCGCACAGTCATCCTCCCCCTTGGTGCCCAACAGCTTCAGCGCTACTCCATCCTTCCTTCACCCTTTCCTCCTACATCCCCTCCTCCTTCATCCCCTCCTCCTTCATCCCCTCCTCCTTCATCCCCTCCTCCTTCATCCTCTCCTCCTCTCTTCCTCTCCTCTCCTCCTCTCCTCATCCCTGTCCCCCTCCGCCCCCCCTCACAAATCCTGCTTCCTGCTCCTCAGCAAATTTCTCCTTCCTCTGCTTCCCTTCTCTCCTTCACTTCCCCTTCCCGCGTAGTCCTATCTCCCGCGTCCTTCTCTCCCATACTTCCTTGTATCCTCCTTCCCTTCCTCTCCTCTCCTCCTGCTGCCCCTCTCTATCTCTCCTCCTGCCGCCCCTCCTTCCTCCCTCTGACTCGTGAGCAGGCAGACGGATCGAGGAGGAAGCAATCAACGACCCGTATGCCAGATGAGACAACAGCTTTAATTCAACAAGGGCACCAAACTCCTCCTCCTCCTCCTCCTCCTCCTCCTCTTCCTCCTCCGCACTCCACTGCTCATCGTCGATCCACGAGCTCCTGACCTGTTCCCGCCATTCTCATCCTCCCGCACAACCCGCATCCTCCTCACCTGCTGCCTCAGCACGAAGAGCGTCCAGCGCCTTTGTGAACGCCCAGATGGCAACCGCTGCGAGAAAATCTCAATCACTGCTGCTGCTGCTGCTGCTGCTGCTGCTGCTGCTGCTGCTGCTGCTGCTGCTGCTGCTGCTGCTGCTGCTGCTGCTGCTCCTGCTCCTGCTGCTCCTGCTGCTGCTGCTCCTGCTCCTGCTGCTGCTCCTGCTGCTGCTCCTGCTCCTGCTCCTGCTCCTGCTCCTGCTCCTGCTCTCTTCTTTCCTTCATTCTCTTTCCCCTCCTCTCCCCATCCCTCCTCCTCGCTGCCCCCTCCCCTCCTCTCTCGCTCTCTATCCTCACCAGGACTCCAAATCACCATCCAGCTGAGAAGGTTCTGTATCTGAGCCCAGTTTGCGCCCGGGTACAGGAAGCCCTGCAGAGACTTCAGCTTCCCCTCAACTCTCAGACAAGACTGACCGAAATGAGAATGTTGACTGGGACTGCCAGGATGAGAAACATGGTAGCGGAGATCTGCGGGAGGGTCAAGGGAGGAGAGGAGAGGAGAGGAGAGGAGAGGAGACAGAGGAAGGAGACAGAGGAAGAGGGGAGAGAGACGAAGGGGGAGGGAGAGCACAACGTTAGAGAGGGAGAAAAGCGGAAAAGGACAGAGGAGGAACAAGCCCTTGTGAGGGTTGGTTGGATGGGGAGAAAGGGGAGGATGAGAGGGAGATAGAGGAGACCAGAAGAGGAGGAGGAGGATGGGGAGGGCAGAACGAGGAGTAGGAGAAAGAGAGCAGCAGCGGGAGGAGGATGGGGAAAAGGAGGAGGAGGAGGGGCGGGGGGGTAGGGAGGGAGGAACCTTGAAGATGTCGGTATGGTAGACATCCTGTGCTAGATAGGCAGCAAGACCGATAAGAGGGCTCCAGATAGCCGCGAGCTTGAGCAGCCCAACTACTTGCTTGCGCATCTCCTCGCTACTGGCGCCCTCCTTCCACTTCTCGTAGGGCAGGTACTCGCCGACCAGCTTGTGCTCGCCTCCTTCTCCTTGACGCTGGATCAGCACAAAATGAGGAGAAGGAGGAGAGGCGGCAAACCTTCCTCTGACGCCAGCACGTACAACTGGTCTGACCTCCCTCTCAGCAACCCCTCCTGCAACCCCTCCTGCCCTGCCGTCGTCCTCTGAAGGGAGAGATCATGGGCAGACGCAGCAGGCGGCTGCGAGGAGGAGAGGAGGAGAGGAGCAATGCAGGCAACTGCCATCGTCTTGAGGCCCTGCTGCATATTGCCGGTCGACTTCCTGTCCTGCTGCGAACCGGGCCGGAGCTGGCAGACAGGTCCAGTTGCAGACCTGTGCGGAGCGCTTCCCTCCCTCCTTGTGCCGAGGAGGGAGAGCCGATGAGCGGCTCCTGAGGAGAGCATGAAGCCTGATGATGGCACCATGCTGCATGATGCGACGAGCAAGAGGAGCTTGCACGAGAACATTTTCCTTCTTCAAACGAGGCATGTCAGGAGAAGAACAGGGAGAAACAGAGAAGTTATTTGCAAATCAGTTGCTCACAGCTAACAGTTGATGATTAGGATCTTATTCCTCCTCCTTCGACAAAGACCGATAGAGAAGTTTATCGTCCTGCAATGAAAATCATAAAAACCCATGATCGTCTAGACAAGCCATCGCAGTTTGGTCGCCAACTTATCAATCCTTCTCATCTGCTTCATCTTCATCTTCCTGGCATCGCATCTTACTGCTTCGTTCTACGTATTCTGCCATCATCGCCTCTTCTGTTTAACCCTGCCGCCCACTCGCTCCTGTTTGCCTCTGCTCTCCCGGCTCGGCCATGGCGGGGTCCTGTAAAAGAAGTTTGTTTTTCGTCCGAGACAATTTTAAGATTATATATGTTATTGTTTACTTCTACCAACAATCAACTATATAAAGTTTTAGTTTGTACATGTCCATTAATAAAGTACTGAATATTTGTGGTAAATGTATATAAATCAATACTAACGGATGCCATAGGAGAGCCGTAAAACTTGGTATCATCGCCCCCTTTTACAATCAATTTGTAAAAAACCTCCTCGATCGGGGCACAGTAGCCCGGGGCCCGGCACTCAGAGCCGGGAGCGGGCCGGGCCCGGTGCCGCCACTGCGCCGCGTGCCTGGCAGTGCCCGGCGCCGGGTCATGTTGACCCGTGACTCCGGCTAGAGTCCCGGAAATCCAGCAGTGAAGAGCCGGGGTTGATCACGTTGTCACGTCTCTCGTCACGTCACCGGAAGTCACGTCCCCCTCCCCACCAAGTCAGGGAGGTTACCCCGGCCCCATTCTACTGACCGTCCCGGCTGAGGTACCCACCGGTGGAGGGAAATGTCCTATAGGTGGGGTACAAGTTCTATGTGACGAAGCGAAAGGAAGGGGGTGGTATGTGGAAAGAAGGGGGTAGTCAAACCTCACTAGGGGGTAGGGGTTATCCAACTTGACCATGTCCCCCGTATACGTAGAAAGGATCATTATTCGATGACCACCCCTTGGAAACTCTGACCCCCTACCCTTCATTTCTGATCAATTAGATGGTCTACAACGGGGTACTGGAGTTCAGATGGGGGTGGGTCTACCTACGACAAGTCCTTCAAGCTATATCCCTTACCCCCATCCCCCAGTCAGCGCATTCAATAACCCCCACCCTCTTTTGTACGTCATAGTACCCCTATATTTACATGTGAAAGTCATGACAGGAAGTACCCCCACCCCGACATTATCTCTGTCAGGTACAGTTTTCACCCCTTCACTGAGCAGCCTACCTACCCCCACCCACCCCTTTTTAACCTCTAGATTTACCCCTGTTGGAATTGTAGTCAGCAAGCGATGACCCCACCCCTCTAACAATAAAAAATCAATGGTGAAACAGGGGTACTTGATCATAGTTCCATGTCAGACCCCATGACACACCACCCCTTGTTGCATGCGGAAAAGTACCCTACCCCAAGGTAGTTGCGTCCCCCCGATCCCAAAGCAGATGGAATGTAGCAGTAGCAAGACTGGGGAAGTGGACAAGGAGCAGGAGGAGGAGAAACTTACGAGGCCGAGGAAGCAGGACGAGAAGTCTATGGGGGAGGGAGCGATGGCAAGATGAGATAAAGCTGGGATGAGGAGAGTATCGTGAAGGTATGACAAGTCATTGGGGGCAGAAACGGTATGGTAGAATTTCTTGCGAACGATATACTCTGTCTCATATTGTTGACATGTTTGCAAGAGAGAGAGAGAGTGAGCGAGCGAGCGAGCGAGCGAGCGAGTGAGTGAGTGAGTGAGTGAGTGAGTGAGTGAGTGAGAGGGAGGGAGGGAGATGAATAGATAGAAAATTGATTCAGTCGGCTGCCTGGTGCTGATTCTCTCGCAGGTATTGAAGTCATCTGTTAGCAATAAGGAAAGTTTTCGGCGAGCAGCGAAATTGAGGCATCGAGCCAAAGCGGCGGCATCAACCACACGGAATGTCCACCTACGCTGACATCGTCAACGTGTGCGGGCCAGAAGATGTAAGATTGCCTCCTCCCCTTTGCTTCTTACTCTGATCTGGATGCGACGCAGAATGGCGGGCTAGTGCGCGAATCGTCGCTGCACATCCTCGTCGACGAGGGGGACACGTCCTCTCCCGACGGGGAGGCGGAGGAGTCCTCCAAGACCCCCTTGACCATGAACGACATCCTCACGCCGGGCATTGCGCGCCGAGCTTCCCAGCAAGACGTCATGTCGCAGGCTCGCAAGCTGGCGGGCCATGGGCAGGGCCCCTGCTACGTGGCAGTGCGGGAGGTGTCGGTGGTAGGGCAAGCGAACCTGTCCAGCAACGAGTTCGCGACAGTAGGGAGCGCTGTGCTGGGGATGCTGAAGGGGTTGACCCTGCAGCGGCAGAAGCAGATTATGAAGCCCGTCCTCACCAAGATCGACACGGCGTTCGCTCCAGGCAAAATGTGCCTCGTCCTCGGCCCCCCGCACAGCGGCAAGTCAAGCATGCTCAAGTCTATCGCCGACATCCTCGACTCGAGCCTCGACCTCAGCGGAAGCGTGAGCTTCAACGGTGTCCATCCCGCTCGTTGCATTCTGCCGCGGATAGTCTCGTACACCCCCCAGGTGGACAACCACACGGCAGTGCTGACAGTGAGGGAGACGCTTGACTTTGCCTTCGACTGCACCTGCTCCAAGTTCGTGCACGAGGTCGCCAAGAAGAACGGGCTGAACCTGTTGGAAGCGAAGCACATGGGAATCAACCCAAGGAACCGGGTCGACGTCGTGCTGCACTACTTGGGTCTCGAGCACTGCAAGGACACAGTGGCGGGCGATGGGACCTTGAGGGGGCTGTCAGGAGGAGAGAAGAAGCGACTGACGATAGCAGAAAAGCTGGTGGGAACTCCCATGGTCCACTGCATGGACGAGATCACCACTGGGCTGGACTCGTCGGCAGCCTTCGACATCATCGAGACGATCCGCAACTACTGTCAGATCTTCAACAACACCACCATCATCTCCCTCCTCCAGCCCACTCCGGATGTTGTCAACCTCTTCGATGAGGTGCTGGTGCTGGGGGAGGAAGGGACGCTGGTGTACCACGGGCCCGTGGCTGAAGCTCGAGGCTACTTCAACGACGTGCTCGGCTTCTCCTGCCCGGCCTCCGTCCCGCTCGCAGACTTCCTGGTGTTTGCGTGCACCGATGAGGCGAGGAACTTCTGGGACGACAGCAAGGAGAACGAGCCGCCGACCTGCAGGGAGATGAGCGACAAGTGGAAGAGATCGAAGCTGAACCACACCTACATCCTTCCTCGCTTCCAGCTGGCCGCCGAGGCTGGGCGGGACCCGCAAAACAACCCAGTGAACATGAAGCCCTGGACTGATGTGTACGGGGCTTCCTTTTCTACCTTGCTGCGGGCGACATTGACCAGGGCGGTCAAGGTGAAGCTCAAGAACGTGGTGCTGCTGAGAGGAATCTTCATCCAGAGGGTCGTGCAGTCTGTACTGATCGGGACTATCTTCTGGCAGACGTCCAACGCAGGGCTCAAGATCTCGATGCTCTTCATGCTGGCGTCGATCCTCTCCATGAGCAACATGTACATTGTCGACGTGACGGCGGCGAAGAGAGGAGTGTTCTACAAGCACAAGGACTCGGGCTACTTCCCGACATGGTTGTACACGACCTCCGAGTTCATCGTGGACTTGCCCGTCCAGGTGTTGGAAGTGATCATCATAGGACTCATCACTTTCTTCTTCATCGGGTTCGAACACTCTACCTTCCCCATCTTCTTCGTCGGCCTCCTCCTCGTCTGCCTCGCCTTCACCAACGTGTTCAAGGCCATCACCGCCCACACCCGCTCCTCCGCCGGCTCTCACGGCATGGCGATCGGCTTCGCGGCACTGTGCATGTGCTTCTCAGGGTACATGGTGACCAAGTCGACTATCCCCGACTTCTTCATCTGGATCTACTGGATCGTCCCGACCCCCTGGATCCTCAAGATCCTGGCCCTCAACGAGTTCAAGTCTCCCGGCAAGGACGGATACTACGACCAGATCGCTCCGGGGACGAGCACGAGGCGGGGAGACGTCTTTCTGACGTCCTTCTCCATCCCTACCGAGTCCTACTGGATCTGGGTGGGCTGCATCTACATCATCGCCCTCGTCGTCGTCTCGCAGATCGTCTACACCCTCGGCCTCCACTACCGCAGGCTCGAGGACGTGAAGCCCTCGGTGGTCAACCAGAGGAGTCGCCCGCACGAGGCGAGGCCCGGCAAGGCCGAGCTCGACTCGGAGATGCGGCTAAACCTGAGGGGAGGGCAGCAGCACAGCAGCAACTCGGGCGCCTTCGCTGTCCTTGAGGGCGTCAGGCACAGGCCTCCCGTTGTCACCGTCCTGCTCAAGAACCTCGGGTACTCGGTGGAGGTAGAGCAGAGCACGGAAGCAGGGAAGGTGAAGCAGACGAAGCAGCTGATCAACCAGGTCAACGCTGTGTTCGAGGCTGGGAAGATCACGGCGCTCATGGGAGCGTCGGGCGCGGGCAAGACGACGCTCATGGATGTGATAGCAGGGAGGAAAACGTACGGGAGCATCACGGGAGAGATCCTCATCAACGGCTACCCCCAGGACCTCAAGACGTTCGCCCGTATCAGCGGCTACGTCGAGCAGACTGATATCCATCTCCCTGCTCAGACTGTGAGGCTCCTCCCTTCACTTTCTACCCTTCCTCCTTGGTCTTCCTTCCTGCCTCCCTCCCTCTCTAACTCGCTCTCGCTCGCTCCTCCTTCTCTTCCTCCCTCGTTCTCCTTCCGTCCTTTTCTCCTTCTCATTTCTCTCTTCCTGCTCCTGCTCCTCGTACTGTTCCTCCTGCTCCTCCTCCTCCTCCTCCTCCTCCTCCTCTTCCCACCTCTTCCCTCCACCTCCTCTTCCTCTTCTTCCTCCTCCTCCATCCTCTACTCACTCGCGCTGGCAGGTGCTGGAGGCCCTTCGATTCTCTGCAGTGCATCGGCTGCCTCGGGAGATGACGTGCAGGGAGCGGGAGGACGTCGTGCAGGCGGTGGTGGACCTGGTGGAGCTACACCCCATCCTCAACAAGATGATCGGAGTAGCAGGAGCAGGACTGTCAGTGGAGCAGATGAAGAGGGTAACGATAGCCGTGGAGATGGCAGCCAACCCCAGCGTCCTCTTCCTCGACGAGCCCACGTCCGGCCTCGACACCCGCGCTGCTCGGGTGGTGATCCGGGTGATCAGAAGGATAGCAGCAGCAGGAAGGACGGTGATCTGCACGGTCCACCAGCCATCGCAGGAGATCTTTTCCATGTTCGACAACCTGCTGCTGCTCAAGAAGGGAGGATGGGTCGTCTACAACGGGGACATGGGCCCTGAGGAGCCCAACGGGCTGGACGGGCACGCCTACCACACGTCGGGGAACATGATCCGATACTTTGAAGCGATCTCGCCGGTCAAGTGCGAGGCAGGGGACAACCCGGCAGAGTACATGCTAGACGTAATCGGTGCTGGGATCAACAACGATGGGCCGCACGAGGAGATCGACTTTGCGGCTCACTACCAGCAGTCGGAGATGGAGAGGAGAGTGCTGGAGAAGATCGAGAACCTGGTGCCGGGGCAGGAGATCAAGTTCGAGCACACGTTTGCTGCTCCTCTGTCGAAGCAGCTCTACTTCTCCGCGAGGCGCTGGATCGCGTGCTACTGGAGGACGGTAGGATACAACTTCAACAGGATCCTCGTCGTCACCATCATCGCCTTCCTCTTCTCCCTCAACATCACCCACCTCGACCTCGGCAAGGTGTCAACCCAGTCAGACCTGCAGTCCTACAACGGTATCCTCTTCGCCGGTGTCTTCTTCACCTGCGCCGTCCAGACCGGCATGGCAGTTGCGATCATAGGAGACTCGAAGCTTGTGATGTACAAGGAGCTGGCCGCAGGCATGTACAGCCCCTTGAGCTTCATCTTCGGCCTCACCGTCGCCGAGATCCCCTGGCTAGTCGCCATCGTCTTCCTCCACACCACCGTCTTCTACCCGCTGGCGGGGCTCTGGCCGAGCGCCTACTACATCGCACTCTACTGCATCTCGCTCTTCCTCTTCGCCACCACCTTCTGCTTCTGGGGGCAGATGCTCGCCGCTCTCCTCCCCAACACTCAGACGGCCTCGCTGGTGGCAGGGCCGACGGTGGGGATCATGGTTCTCTTCTGCGGCTTCTTCATGCCTGTCTCCGTCATCCCCTGGCCCTGGAAGCTCTTCTACTACGTCTTCCCAGCTCGCTACGGCCTCAAGGCCATCATCCCCCGCCAGTTCTACTGCAGCTTGAGCTGCATCGCCGAACGCCAGGACCCTTCCCAGCTCATCTTCTGCAACAGCCCGGGGTTCGCCGCTCTATCCCTTGCTGACTCGCCATACCTGGCAGACGGGCCAGGTTGCAGCATCATGACGGACAGGACGCAGCAGGTGCAGTACATGCAGGGGAAGGAGTGGATGCTAAAGAACCTTGGGGACGCGACGCTGTACAGGATGACAGTGTGGGACTACTGGAGCATCACGACCCAGTCCAACGTCGACGACAGCAACTTCTTCATGCTCATCCTCATCGTCTTCATCGTCGGCTTCAGAACCATCACTTTCCTTGCGCTGAAGCACCTCAAGCACATTAAGCGATGAAGTAGACGAGCAAGGAAGCAGGAGAGTCTGTCGAGTGTTTCAACATGTAAATAGAAAAAGTCGTTTGATCCCTTTTCTTCCCTTCCCTCTCTCAGGATTTCACTGAGTTTATTCGTCATCAATCACGTTCAGCTCAGCGCCTCCTCCGCCATGAAGATGCCCATGGCGGCCCCTTAGCGCCCATGGCGGCCCCTCAGTGCCCATGGTTGGGCCTCTTGTTGGGGTCAGTCCCCTCAGGGTGCTCGCTCTTGCGCTTGTGGTCGGCGTGAGCCCCGTGATGATGATTCCTGCGATCCTCTTGGAGGAACTTCTGGAAGACCTGATCTGACTTCTTGTAGCACTCCTCGCCCACACGGCCCATCTCTTCCTTCTCGCCTCGGATGGCGATGAGATGCCTACAAGTTCTGCGCTCATCCACTTCCGAGATGTTGCGCCAGATCAAGCAAGTGCACGAGTACACGTTGCCGACTTTCTTTAGCTCGTACACTTTCGAGCCTTCATGCAACACTTTTTCACCTGGGACCGATGTCAACAGCACAACACTTAAGGTGGTGAAAGACAGGCAACTGGGGCGAGGTGAGAGGAAATAAGAACGTGGAGAGGGGAAGAGAGAACAGAGAAAGCTGGGGTACCTCGCTCTAGCCTTGCGCACTTGTCTTGCAGTTTGGCATCCGTGGAAGAATGGTGACCATTCGGACGCTGGTCACGACCAATCTTGTTTCAGCATCAACGGATTGATCGCACACCGACGTCCTCATGATCTATCCCACTTCACATGCATCCATACAAGAGGACACAGAGACAGATAACATGGAGGTCGGGCAAACGCACCTAAAGTTAGGAAGAAACGATTCTAGCAAGGAACAAGGTATATCAAGTGAAACATTAAATCTCTCCCACATGTCATAATCTCGACTTTCCTCACGAGGGAGAAAGGCAATGGAAACATTTCAGACAAGCAAACGCAACAGCTTTTCAACCATGCTATAAGCACACGTGAATGGGCTTCTATTACCGAATGGGTTGGTTGACCAGCCGGCTGTATATCGTAGATTACAGTTGGTCGAACATGAACAAGAGTCAGCCCTCATCAGGCCAACCAAACAAAACTTGCACACGAATTTCAACACGAGCAACAAAACAATCATAACCTTGGCTGCCTCCTGGGTTGGAGAAGGCTTCGCCTCCGAAGCTGTTTGGCTACCTCCACCAGTACCGACTTCCGTGCTGTTGGCCTGCGCTTGACTTGCAGCTACGTGTGCCTCATCATACAAGTCAAGCAGCTTGTTCTGAACATCTGGAACGGCATCACTCTCCTGCTGAGAAACAAGGTCGTGGAGAATCACCTTCGATGGATTCCCGCGTAACTTGGGACGAGTCGAACACACACTGTTCCTTCTCTGTTCTTCGGTACTTGACCAACTCCTTGATCCATTTCTTCATCTTTTCGATTTGGAACTTGTTGATTTTGAGGGCCAACGCGACGCAGCCAATCGCGATTACACTCCCTTCATATTGTAGCGGAAGCGTAATGGTAGTTGAATCGTTTGCCATAGCATTTGCCCTACAAAGGATATCCTCGCCAAGATCCGTGAGCCGAAAATCGTCACCATCATCCTTTGAAGTCAAGCTCCTGGTTTCTTCGGGCTTGCGTTTCTTATCGATGAAATGGATAAAAGACCTCATGTAGGCCACAGGATGATCAACTTTGAAGTCAAACCCCAAAACCTGTATACTTTCAGCATGGAAAGATTCGCAAATCCGTAGCATACGTGTAGAATTACTCTTTCGCACTGAAGGATGTTGGTACGCACAGCCTGGAATCCTTCTGAGTCTTCTTCTATTTCCCACTTTTTGCGCACAACTTGTCCTTGAGCATTGGTTTTCTCTGCAACTTCCCCTGAGATTCATTTCAGTGACCAGAAAACCAAAATCAGTCCCACAACTAAATCTATGCCTCACCGAAAGGAAGCTTTCCGGATGACAAGTAGTCCAACTTGTTGAGAGCCCAGATGAATTGCTTCAAAGGACGGAGACATTCTTCACTCTTGCAGGCCAAGAAGAGGCAAGTAACTCCAACAATCTATTTCGCAGGGTCAAATTTCGCCAGGTGCGAAGGATGTTTGGATACCTTGGGATTTTGACGACCCTCTGCCATCGATTGAACCATAAAAACTCGATGGAAGAAAACTTTCCCAGAGTTGATCGCACACAAGGATGCAGGAGGTTTGATAAGCTGTCCTAGCTCAGCAATCAACTTGCATACACTTTTCCTTTTTGTGCGCTCCAGTTCACGCGTCATCTTGTCTTGTCGCGATGGAGTATTTTCCAACTCGTGTTCGCTGAACAGCCATGGCTTTCTTTCGGTTTCAGTAGCAACTTGTTGAGTCCCTGACTCAGTCATTGTGCAATGAGGTATCAACAACAAGCCCTTTGCAGTCGAGAGTCAGTGCTCCAGAAGAATAACGACCCTCTTCAGACGATGTCACTCATACAAAGCCTATACAGTTCAGTCTTGTTCACGGGATGTGATATCAGAAGCGCAAGTCCTGTTCAAGAAAGGAACATTTCTAACTTCTGATTGCGAGATCGACTTTCGGTAAACTTCTGCAAGGGCAACAAAACTCCCTTCAATAGTTCAAACTATACTGAGGTACAAGGGGAGCTTCAGAAGAAACTTTTACAACCACAAGTCATGCACGACCATGGTTGAAGCAATGTGTGCCAATTTCAACAGGAGCAAAAATATCTGATCAGATGCCAGGAGTTGAACTGCTGCACGTGGGCGCGGCGGGAGGCACCAAAAGGCGCTTCTCCACCGCGCACCGAGTACCTTTCCTTTTCTCCCTGTTGAGTTTGGAAACTTTTTCAGTACATCAATTCAAGGTCTGTAAATGAGATATCTTGTGGAGAAAAGCTCCTTTCGATGACCTTGTTTTTCATCGGTCAGTCGATAAACAACCACAACAAAGCAATGCATGCACATCAACTTCAGTGTCTGATATGCAGAAAGAAGTTGGATTTGCATAGATTGATTCAATGGACTTTGGTTGCAATGAAACAAGATGGAAAGAAACCATGCACTGAGAGTAGACAAGATAATTCATGATTGGTTCCATTGAATATCAAAATTCAACAAACTTCATACACGAATTTGGGACGCTCACTCTCTTTCCTTCAAGAACGCAACATGATGAGGACATCAAAAGACATAATGAAAATGTTATTATCACACGGTATTCAACAACGCGCAATGCATTTTAAGCCGATGCTTCTTCCTTCTTCCAACTCAGCAGCTCGCTCAACTTGCTTGCTCTGATGCTACTCTCATGTAGAAATGCAGCAAGTGCTGCAGCTGTTTAAGATCGCACAGTTGATCACTACAGCTGTCAAAGAGAGTGCTACGCCAAGTCAAGTAATACTGATGTACATCTTGAAGCAGCGATCTTGAAGCAGCGCTCGTGCTTGCCTACAAGACATCATCTCATGCTTTCACATCTTTGATGAAACGCTCCATTCTCATCATGATTCTCTCCGAATCCATGACAGAATTGGCCATTTTCAATGTACTCGGTGTATCGTTCCACATTCATCTCCTGGCTTCTGCTCTGCAAGATCCTCCCTTCTCCCTCGCCCCCCTCTCTCGTGTCAACCGATCCCCTCTCCTCTCCTCCCTCCTGTTTTGCGGCACCCGGCTGCAACCTGCCATCCTGTCTCAACCATCTTCGTGTTCCTATCTGTCACTTCCTTCTTCTCATTCTCTCCTCCTTCTCCTCCTCCTCCAGCATTCCCCGCTCCCTCCACTTCGCTCCCGCCGCCATCCTCCACCTCTCCGCTGCCACGCGCTGAACCACCCTACTTCCCCAATTCATGTAAACCACCCCTACCACCTCTGTGGTACCCCATCCATCCATCACCCCTTCAACCTTCAAACCACCCTGTCATCTAAGAGTTTAGGTATCACCCTACCCTACCCGAATCGCTTCTCATCAACATACCGAGGGGGTGAAAGTGTCCTTCAGGTACCCCTACCCTTCAGTGAGTTGCTGAGAACTCAAAATTTACCCACCATATGCAGCACTCAAACACCCCTACCCCCCTTTCAAATTCGCCCACCCTTCTTTGGACTTGGAAGTCCTGTACTGAGCAGGTTCTGGTACTAAAGAGATTTCATATTCTATTTGAAATTACATTTCACCTTCAAAATACAGGATCATTTGAAAAATACTCGAAATTATGTTATCTGATTTGGAAATTTATATGTCCTTTCCTTGCTTCGATAAAACTGATTCGTAGGTTTCGGCACTAATTTCCATGAATTACCTTCAAATTTCAAATCTCTCCGAACGGTACTAGAACTTCTGTACTGATATATATAAGTATGATCTAAATTTAATAGCAATTTTGGAAGGAAGGGGGTGGGTAGCTAACCGGTGGGGTACCTTTGCATGTGAGGGGGTGGGGTACTTGTTGGTAGGATTTTTGGAGCATGCTCAGGCAAGCGTGTGATAACGACGAAACATGCGAAGGAGCGACGGAAAGCAGAAGAAGGTGTGCAATGGTTGAAGAAAACATGCTGAGAGCAGGGACATGTTGCTGGATAAATGCTGGGATGATCGATTGGAGGACAGGCGGCAGGGAACCGGGATTCATCTGGAGCGGGGATTGAGGGCGAGGGAAAGAAAGAGTGAGATAGTGCTGCGAGAGGAACAGGGCAGGACTGAACCAGATGGCGGGATCGGTGCTGAATGAAGAGATAAATAAGAGAGCACAGGCCTCGACAAGAAGAAGGGATGACCATGTGGTGGTCGCGGAGCTCTGATTAGTGGTCGCAGAGAGCTTCAATCGATCGAAAGTGGTAAAAACATCAATGAAGACTTGCAAGAGTTTCAAATGGATACTACATTGATGCAGTTTCAAATGGATACTACATTGATGCACTAACGCACTGTGCAGGAAGTCATTGTCCACTGTCACAATAGAGACATTCATGATCGCTACAACCCATGTATTTCGATGAACATGATCAATAAAAGTTCGAGCAGGACCTGATTTCTTTCTGCACGAGAGTCTATAATCTCATCAACGACTCAGCTCACATTTCTTTCAAACCATATCATACATGTTATTCGAACTTCTTCATATCAAGGGCCTAAATACAGATCCGTCCGCCCCTTCCGACATGCACAAACAACTCCTCGCTTGCCTCCTCCTCTTCTTCCCCTTCCCCTTCCCCTTCCTCCTGCCTTCCCTGCTCCTCCAACAACTACTACCATGCCATGCTACTGCTACTTCCCCTGCCTCCTCCCGGCTCCCACGCCCGACTGGTATTTCCCTTCCCTTGCCGAAACATGCAGGCGTGGAGAACAAGGAAAAAGTGCTTAAAAGTGTTTGGCTACTTCTGGTTAAATTAGGCATAAAGCTCTTATTATAGAACTTTTTTACTTATAACTCACTAGCGATAAGTGGGAAATTCTTAATTTTAGCGTTATTTTGAGAGGTTGTCATTCAAAAAACATGGCGGGTGAAATATGAGCATGAAAGAAGGATCAAGAGGTGAGAGAAGGGAGGGAGGGAGGGAGGGAGAGATGGTGCGAGGGAGGCACGGAAGGAGGAGGAGGAGGAGGAGGAGGAGGAGGAGGAGGAGGAGAGACCGAGACAGAGACCGAGACCGAGACAGAGAGAGAGTGGAGGGAAAGAGCATGGAGGGTATTGGAGGGATGGGGTGACGAGATGATATGGGAAAGATGGGGCAGAGTTTTGTGAAGAGAAGTTTGAATCAATCAGATCACTGACAAGTAAACAAGCGGAGATGAGTCTGGATGTCGAGAGCATGGAGGCAGAGCGCATGATCATATCCAAGCATTGACCATCTTCAACAACTCAGCGCTATCGACAAGATGTGCGGCTCTCCATGAGATGATAGACTAGCGGACAACCCTCATGAAGACGGTTTCCGACAAGGATCTGCATGTCCTGCAGGAGATTATCGCACATGCTGAAAGGTGGGATGCTCTGAACGAACCATGGGCTCAAATGAAATCATGAAAGCTGACTGTCGTGCTGCTAGTTCGACGTCGGTCGTACCGCACGGAGAGCATGGCCAAATGTCGCTGGCTGATGTAGATGCTGGAGGCCGATTCTATGACGAGGTTGACATGGCTCTTGAAAGGTTCTCAAGAGCTACTCGATCATCTTGAGGAAGCATGGCTTGTCGCCGTCAGAGGACACGTTCTTCTATCGGTCTCCTCTGAGACTCAATGCACCTGCGCTTACAGATCCCACAGCCTGCTGCTGCAGATGTCCATGGACGGAAGCGGAGACTGGTGGAGGAGGTAAGGAGGTAGAGGACGTGTGCTGAGGCAGGTGACTGGCTGCAGGTTGGAAGCCGTCTGCAGCAGGACATGCACAGGAGGAGGAGAGAGGGCGAGGGACAGCACGGGGGTGACGCAAGGTTGAGAGGAGGAGGTGGTCAGAGGTCGTGCTGATTTGGTCGAAGCTTTTCGGAGGATGGTAACGGAAAGGATTCCTACTCACAACAGAAGGGGCGTGTACGAAGGTAGCGGGCTCGTCGCAGTGCACAGTCGTGGATGGACGAAGAGGTTCAACGACGAGAACGACATTTCTGTGTACCACGGGAACGCTCAAAATCGCAAGGCGGTGAAGAAGAAGAAAGATGAGAACCAGAGGATGGTCGAGGAGCAGGTGAGCCTTGTGACGAGGAGGAGGAAGGGGTGAAGAGTTTTCTGCTGCTGTTGAGGGATGTATCCTTGTTGGGGAGGAGGAGCACGAATCGACTGTGATGTTGCAGGCGCTGGAGAACTGGATGGTTGCAGTGAGTTTCTGGGAGCAATGTCCGTCCTCCTTGTGACCCGGCAGGTGGGTATCATGACTCTGCCTTCAGGCGTCAGCGTTCGGATCGTCCTCGCATGGAGGACGTTGGTCAGAGAGGCAAAGGAGAAGTTGATGGAACTTTGCTGCTACCTCGATCCGGCCAGCGCGTTTCCTGAGACGACGACGATGACGTGGTAGGGAGTGTTGGAGGAGACTTGACGGGAGTGATGTGGCAACGAACAGGATTTTGAGCGTGAAGTTTGTGCAGCTGAACTTGCTCCACAAGAGGTTGTTGATGTGATATGATGTGATGTGATGTGAGGCCAAGACATGTCATGTCACGTCATGTCATGTCACGTCATTTCATGCGATATGATGAGCGACATTGGGTTCTCAAGGACGTGTGGTGATAGATGGGCAGGAAAAGCTTGAAGAGAACATTTGATGAGCTCGTGATCAACAAGAAGTTTCAGAAGGAGAAGATGAGAGAAGCGATCGACATGTCCGGTACGAAAAACTTCTGACATCACCTGAAGTCCTGACATGCTCTTGTTGTTGAAGCTTACCAACGATTGACACTTTGCTTCTCTTGGATGAAAGTCTGGACGTATGAGTCTTGCTCAATCAAGAACAAGTTTGAGATCGTGTTTGTTCGCCACCTAAGACGAATCGTGTCTTGGGTAAGAGACTTGTGAAGAATTTTCTAACTCCCTGACGTTTCCTACAGGCTCTATTGTTCTGGATTGAAAATTCTGTGCGGGAGAGAGAAATGGTCCTTGGGATCAAAAGGTTTCTGCGCGCCAGAAGACGGATGTTGCTGCTCAAGACTTGGGGGGCCTGGGGACCTGAGGGGTTGGTGGGGAAGAAGAAGACATTGCGATTGAGATTCCATGAGGTGAGAAGATCGGAGGAGAGGAGCAGGAGCGGGATGACTATGCCTGTGGTGCAGCTGAAAAGAAAGATAGCCAAGAAAGTCTTCAGGGAAGCCTTCATGGCGATCTCAGAGGATTTGAGTGAACAAGCAATCTTTGCTGAACATGGTGAGGAGGAGAACCCAGATGGTGATCACTTTGTAAAGACTTGATGCAGGTAACAAAACAGTGAGAAAGAAGTTCTACAATCAGTGGCTGCAGTACGTGTCTCTAATGTCAGAGGTGATGGACATGTTTGCAAATGGCCAACATTCTGATTCTTGCAATCAGAGCAACTTGAAGCTCGAGGAGAAACTCACGGCTGAACAAGGAAAGAGGAGGAGGAGGGTGCTGGAATCATGGAGCAGGCACGTTGGAAGGATGAAGATGCTGATGGAGAAGTTGGCGACTGCGGAGTTGAAGTTCAAAGTCAAAATTCGGAGGAAACAGCTGAAATCATGGAAGCAAAAGACTTCTTTCCTGATGCGATTGAAGATGTTTGCCAGAATAGTCAGTCAGCGCCGTGCACAGTCGTACTGTAAAGGAATTCTGACAAGATGGCGCATGTATCAACAACTTTACCGTCTTCATATGCAAAAATCCGGTGAGAAACAACAAGTCGTGGGGTATGAACGAGCTGATACAGTACTGCAGCCTCTGCTTGGAATCATGAAAGATTTCACCTCCTCCGCCGACATCTGTCGAGGTTCTCAAATTGTCCCATCATCACATCTCATCTCATCTCATCTCATCTCATCTCATCTCCTCTCCTCTCCTCTCCTCTCCTCTCCTCTCCTCTTACCCTCCTCTCCTTCTCTCTTGTCCTCTTCGTGTTTTCTAGCTCTTCACTCATCCTTCTCAACAGATGGAGGATGCGGATGAAAATGTTCCTTAAGAGACTGGACAAGTTAGCAGCTGCTGATCGTCAGGTATTGCCTCCCTGTTGCCCTCCTCGTATCGTTTGCTAAGAACAAGAACAAGATGACAAGATCGTTGTCTTCCAAGTTCTTCAAGCTTTGGATTAATGTGATCTTTTACCTGCGGCTGAAGAAGAAGAGGTACCTTCACGACTGAAACTTTCACTTTTGAAAGATTTCTCAGTGTTGATGAGGCAAATTGTCTTTTCATGCTGCCTTGGATTCAGTTTTGGATATCAGAGTTCAGGTTGTTTCTCGTTGTCCTTGTTCACTATTCTATCGTAACACGAGAGCAAAGAACTAAACAACGGATGAGAATGAAAGGTCAAACAGTGACTTTGACAAGCGTGAAGAACCTTTCCAAGAAGGCTTTCAGGTGGTGGAAGAGAGCGAGAGAACAAGGTAACAACCGAATGACAAGCAACAGTTTGACTTTGATCTTTCAAAGGGACCATGGAGAGAAAGGAACTTGAGATGAGATTGCAAAGAGCTATCATGATTGTCGAGATGTTCAACTTCTTCACAAGATGGCGCGGTCAAAGAAACGTCAGCCTGTTCAACGTCAAGAGCATTCTCCGTCGCTGCCTCCGAGCCTGGAAATCACAGACTGCGATATCCTTGTTTGTGTGGATGAGACGAGAAAACTTCACTGTGAGTACCATAAGATAACGTTCTCCTCCTCCCAACCCCCAACTTCCGCCTCCTCTCCTCGGCTCTCCTCTCCTCTCCTCTCCTCTCCTCTCCTCTCCTCTCCTCTCCTCTCCTCTCCTCTCCTCTCCTCTCCTCTCCTCTCCTCTCCTCTCCTCTCCTCTCCTCTCCTCTCCTCTCCTCTCCTCTCTCCATTCATCCACTTCTCATCTCCCCTCCCTTAAGATGGTTTCAACTTACTTCCTCCCGTTTATCAGTTGCTGTTGTTGAGCAAGAGCCTCTACCTATGGAAAGAGATTCTTGTGCATCAACGCAACTTGAAGCAACTTGTGAACAATGTGGAAGAATTTTCGATGATGAAGACAACGAACAGGTCAGGACAAATGAAGTCACCCAAATGACATGAGATATTGTGAAGAGATTTCTTTCTGTTTGTCTTACGTGAATTTTCTTCTTTCAACGTGAATTTCACACTTTGTTCAGATTCTTCTCCTCTTGGCTTCATGTTTTCCATGTGAAGACTTCGCATGCGATGATCGTCGACAGCGCCTTGAGAGCAAAAGAAGGGAAGACTCGCTCGGCGTGTTTGGAGTTCTGGAAGATTTACATTATGACGAATGTGAGATGAAGATGCTCGGGAGAGTTATGTTTATGGAGTTGATGATTGAGATTGAGATGATGATAATGATGGTGATGATGGTGATGTTAATTATTTAGATGGTGGTGGTGGTGATGATGATGATGATGGATACGAATATGTTGCAAACAAACGGTGTTGTTAGTAGTGGTGATGACGATGATGATTATTTTCATGTTGTGAATTTAAAACTTATTGTCTTTCCTTCAGAAACGTCGTTTTTTCCGTGTCCGTCAAATCTTTTCACTTCGAAGGCCAAGAATTCTGAGAAAGCAGGTGCTAATCAGTCATGCCATGACCAACAATGTCTGCCGATCATGTCATGAAGTCTATTGTTCATCTTTTTCATCTTCTCAACAGTCGATCAGACCTCAACCTGACTTGGTTGTCAGTTCATGTATTGGATGGATATGGTCGACATGTCAAAGAGAGCTTCAGTACTCTGCAGCCTGCATGAGAATCGGCGGATGAGAGAAATTTTCACCGGCCTCGCCCGCGCCACGTTGAGAAGAAGAGAACTGTCTAGTTGCATTCTTGTACTCGTTGCAAAGAGGTGCAGGAATCGAGTGATCCGAATGTTTTGCTGCTGGAAAGAAGTAATTCCTCATGTCCGCAAGTTGTTGTTTGCAATGATTGTAATGTTTACAGCACATTCGTTACCTCGCACAACTTGTGGTGATCAAGCATTCTTTGTCAAAGTCCTGGAAGGTGAACACGAAGGGACGAGTTGTCTTTCTCCAACCTCTTTGCAGGTCTTCTGCATGAAAGAAGCCTTTCTCACGATGTTCCGACAAGTATGAACAAGTGTTGAGACACTGTCAATCATGACTTGATGTCTGCAGGTGAAGGAGAAGCTTGATAAGCAGACAAAACTTTCATGTTTGCTGCGAGCCCGCGATTTCTCCCTGAAATTTCGATGTTTCGGGAGGTTTGGCTGGAGCGGAATCACCAGGTGAGAGGAAAAGAGGAGGGCAAGAACGAGAGGGGAAGACGAACAGGTATCTGTGATGAGAAGAAGAGGATGATGAGAGAAGACATGATGAGAGGATAGGAGGCATCACAGGATTTGCTGGATTTCCCACGTGAGATGATTTGATTCACTTCTGTTCACTTGCAGACGAAACAAGAACCTTTCCGTCGCCTCATACGCAACGAGCGCACAACGTAATCACAATGTGAAGAGGAGGATGCTGCAGCTGTGGTGGACCGTCTTCAACACGAAGAGACAAGAACGACTAGAGGTCAGGTGCTGTTTGTTTTTCTTTCTCGTCTTGAAGTCTCTTTTGCAGGTACAAAACTTGGCGGCAAAGTTTGCAGAGGTGGAAAGCAAGAATTCTGCCTCTTTCATCGTCTTGACACCCTCTCAGCGTCGACAAGTCGAAATCTGGAACAAGATCGCTGCTGAGTTTCAGTTGCACGAGAATGTCAGTTGGAAAGTTTGCAGACTTTGAAGGTGTTGAGATGCAAGTGACAGGAGGAGAGAATCGATCTGCGCAAGAAATCGTCCAAGATGCAGTGAGTTGTGAACATTCCTGCGTTCTGGGAAGAATGAAGTTGTTCTTTGATAGAAACGTCTTCGTTGCATTCAAGAAGGCAACTCTGTTTCAAGTTGTCACAACAGCGCTCAAGCTGCAGTCTGTTCTTGTTCTGAAGCAATGGATCATTTCGCACAAACACCTTTTCTCCAGAGATCCTGCATTCTTCCAGGTCCTCTTCAAGATGAGATTGCTGAAGGTAAGCATTGCCCTTGACATTCGACAACATGATAATGATCGAGATACATTCATCTCATTGTCGAATCTCGGATGTGATTGATGAGATGACTTGTCAACAGGCGATGAGAAGTTTGTTCTCGTGGCATGACATCACCGTCAAGACAAGGGAGTGCAACCTTATGATCAACAGACACCTGAGGTCTTGCTCTTCTGACTCCTCACATATCAATGACTTCTGATCAGCGTGTTGGCTGTTGAGAACTTGCGAAGATGGAAGGCAACATGTCGTCTGCTACAATCAGAACGGGAGAAGCTTGCGGAGGCTGAGAATGTGAAGGAGAAATGTAGAGATGAGAGACTGAAACATGTCAACAGGTCCTCAGCGTGATCAAGTTGAACTTGTCTTGTGCATGGTGGCAGCGGTGGGTTCAGAGGAGATGTAGCTTCAAGAAACTTGAAACGAGAAGTCTCATGAGGAACTTGGAACAAACTGTGAGAGAGTGGAAGGCATGCTCAAGAATACTGAAAGGTTGTTCACCCCTCTTCCCTCCTCCCCTCCCCCTGCTCCTCTCCCCTCTCCTCTCCTCTCCTCTCCTCTCCTCTCCTCTCCTCTCCTCTCCTCTCTCTTTCTCTGTGCAAGTCCTTGTGTCTAACGTTGTAACAGGCTGCAATCACATCCGTGAACGTGTGGAGAGGAGAGAAGAAGCAGAGTTCTTCCTCCAATGGAAGTCGACAACAACCCTCGCGCGAGTTCAGACCGACTCTGCTCTCCAGTCCCTCCTCCTCCGTCGCCCTCCCTTGCTGAGCCTGACAGTGCGGCCGGTGATGGAAGCCTTGGTTGAGCTCGTGAGGAGGAGGAGGAGAAACCTGGGCAAGGTCCGATGGATGAGAAATCAAGTCGACAAGAAACTCTGTCGGGTCGTCTTCCTTGTATGGAAGGGTTTCTCACGCTTCGCACGGTATTCCTGTCCGCTCTCTACCTCTACCTCTACCTCTACCTCTACCTCTACCTCTACTCTAACTCTACTCTACCTCTACCTACTCTACTCGCTACCTACACTTCTCTACCTTTTCTCTACCTCTACTCTTCTCTCTCTCTTCCTCTCACGATCTTGCAGGGTCGTAGGTCATCTCCTCCACCACAAGTGGAACAGCAGGCGGCAGCTCGTGCTGCGGGCATGGAGGGAGGTGACGGCAAGCCGGAGGTTGCTGCGAGCGACAGAGCGAGCATGGCGGAGCTCCCTGCAGCACAAGCTCATCGCTGCTCCTGATCCTCCCCCTCCTCTCCTGCTCGCTATGGAGGCTCTCGCCTGGATCGCAGGAGGAGGAGGAAGCGGGTGGTGCCACGTGGTGATGGGCAGTGGGGAGGAGGAGGGAACGAGAGCGGCGGCGAGCATGAGCATGACACTGTTCATGTGGTGGTGGAAAGTTACCAGGTCACAACAGATTGTTTTGCGCTCTCTCAGCATTATCTGCTTCTGTGAATTCTTGTTATCTTGATCTGTGTTGGTGAATTTCATTCAATCTTGAATTTTATTTTTGAATGCGTTGTTGTGTTTGCTATTGCCAGTGTTGTTGTGTTTGTTATTTGTTCTCCTCTCTCCTCACTCTTTCTCTCCTCAGGTTCTTGCTAGTAGACATGTCTTTGGCAATGGCGCATGAGAAGACAAGAGCCGTTTCGTCTCCCGACAGACAGTACAAGACCATGATCTCCAACATCTCTCGCGCCATCAACACTTCTTCCCTGCTGATCGAACCAGATGACATGATGGTGAAGAGAAAGTTTGTCATGGTTGCAGCTGATGTCATGTGATGTGAGAGGAAGTGAATAACTTGCAGGTCTCAGGTCGACGATCGTGCTACTCGCTCACCTTCTTCTGTCTGGGACGTTGGAGATGTGCAGTCAAAGGCCTACAGAAGAAAGAGACGTGAGCAGTCGAGCAAGCTGTTGTTTTACATGTTGTTCATACATTCTTCGAGCTGATGTTTCATACGTTCTTCAAGCTGTTGTTTTACATGTTGTTCAAGCTGTTGTTTTACATGTTGTTCAAGCTGTTGTTTTACATGTTGTGCAAGCTGTTGTTTTACATGTTGTGCAAGCTCTTGTTTTACATGTTGTGCAAGCTGTTGTTTTACATGTTGTTCAAGCTGTTGTTTTACATGTTGTGCAAGCTGTTGTTTCATACATTCTTCAAGCTGTTGTTTTACATGTTGTGCAAGCTGTTGTTTCATGTGACTTTCATTCCTGTCTCGTGTCTTGATGGTCTTGTCGTGTACACTCTTTTCTTCTCGTCTTCTTGTTTGTGACTTGTTTCTGTCGCTGACGATCACTATCAGTCTGCGGCGCAAATGTCTGTCCTTCGCAACCACCTTGCGAAAGACGCGCGTGGTGGGTGGGATGAAGTATAATTTGATGAGCTGCTTGTGGAAGAGAGGTGAAGCAGATCAGAACAAGACGTTGTCTTCGGGGGCAATGACAAGATGTCTTGCCAGATTTTGCCAAGAGAGTCAAACAAGCGTGGACGAGATATTGTTTGCGAGGTCAAGAGGAAACGATTGTTCGTTGAGTTCACGAGATGTGGCAGAAATCTTGAAGTTCTGGAAGATTCTAAAAGAGGTGGAGATGTATCAATCGACGATGAAACACAAGACGCTTGTCAACATGGTTTGCCAATGGAATCTTGTTTCCAAGACTTTGGTGAGATGTTGTTCAGTGGTTGCTGTTGTTTGATTTCATTCTGTTGTGCTGTTGACTGTGTCGATGATCAGTAAAATATCTGTTCGTGTTGTTGTGATCAGTACGTGTCTTGCTCTGTTCCTTTCTGTTGCTGATGCTGGTGACTTGTGGGATGAACTTGCAGTCGGCAATCAAGCGTTTGAAGCACAAACTCTTCTCTCGGAGGCATATCAGGCTACCGCTGTTGTACTGGTCGTTAGAGGTGATGATGGAGAGAGAGGAGGAAGGGGTTAACAATGTTGCTGATGATCGAGAGAGAGAAGACAAGGAGGGCAATGTTGTTGTTGCAGCTGATGAGCTTTTCGGTTGCAGACGAAGAGGTTGCAAGAGATACGACACCTTCTCTCCTTCGTTCGTTACTCTCTCTTCTGTGCTCTTCCATTCTTAATTCGCTCACGTGCAGGCGAAGAAACGGAAATCCTTCGCGTTCATGAAGGACGTTTTCGTGGAGTTGAGGGTTTGGACCCCAAGGCTGAGAAGAGGAGCCATGTAAGATGTCTTGCTCTTTACTTCCTGTGTGCTCAATGGTGTGCGATAGGATGCAGAGGAGGATGTTTAAGACGATGAAACGAGAGGTGGTCTGGTGTTGGAGAGCGGTGACGATCCGATTCAAACAACTGGTAGTCCGGTTTCAGAGGTCTCAAGATGATGTGTCATGAGTTGTTTTCATGAGATACTGTTGACAGGTTGTACATGTCCGTCATTTTGACATGTTGGAGCTCTGAATGCCTTCGACTCCGTCAAGCTCTGACGTCCTTGATCGACTTGAGAGCGCGACGCTCCGCAAGGTCAAAAGCACATCTCTTCCTCTCCTTTCCCCTCTTCCTCCCCCCTCTCTCCTTCTTGCCTCCCGGCCTTCTCCTCTCCTCTCCTCTCCTCTCCTCTCCTCTCCTCTCCTCTCCTCTCCTCTCCTCTCCTCTCCTCTCCTCTCCTCTCCTCTCCTCTCCTCTCCTCTCCTCTCCTCTCCTCTCCTCTCCTCTCCTCTCCTCTCCTCTCCTCTCCTCTCCTCTCCTCTCCTCTCCTCTCCTCTCCTCTCCTCTCCTCTCCTCTCCTCTCCTCTCCTCTCCTCTCCTTCGTGTGACATTACTTCACAGCCTTGCTTTCAACGCATTTGTTTGCCTCCACCACGAGAGGAAAAGGAGGAAGCATATCTTCAACGTCATCAATGGTTCCTTGACTCCTCCCAGACCTGACCCTCTTCGCGCACGAAAACACTCCTCCCTCCCTCCTCCCTCCTCCCTCCTCCCTCCTCCCTCCTCCCTCCTCCCTCCTCCCTTCCTCCTCCACCTTCCTTG